AATACATATTAATGTAATTCATAAATATTTTGGTTTAGAACAAGAATGAAGTTTTATAATAATTTTCTTTTCCTTGGTCGATTACAATCCCCGAAAAAATTACTTCATCTCATGATACACTGAATTTTTTTATTTCCTTATTGTTTTGTCATTTGTTCACGGACCAATGTTTTTTGAGAATTATTCGCTCTCGCCAATTAGTTTATAATTATTTCCAATTAAATTAACAAAACAATAAGGGAGCACAAATAAATTTATCTTTTAAATTTTATCAGTTGTCTTAAAAGTTGATCCAATAAAGGATTTATATTTACTATTCTATTTTTTCTAATTTTTAAATTATAAAACATCGGGCATTGATGTCCATGATGTTTTAAGCCCTAAATCTCTATGAAATAAAATAGTTTGATGCACAATATAAAGTTTTTTAGAAAAATAAAAAAAAATAGAACATCAGAAATTTGTTCTATTCCATTAAAAAAATATAACTATTGATTTGATTATTAGGATATTATAGATTAAATATTTTTTTAATTTCTTAAAAGAATTTTTTTTTTTTTTTTATAAAATAACTTATTTATGATCCTTAATATTAAATATAAATTTGATAAAGTATAGCTTTCGTCAACATTTCCCCAAAATATTAACATTTAAATAACCTACGATTGTAATTTTATTTGTCTTTACATATGTAATTTTAAAAATAGATACGACTGTGTTTTTATGTTTTTAATTTACGTATCTTTAGGTTAGTTTATTTTTTATTGTACATAGTTTTTGATTATTATTTAGTTATTAATTTACTTTTGGTTATTTTATATTTCTGTATATATGGAGTGAATTTGTCAAATATCACTAGAATTATTGTCCACGTGACAGATTATTATATTTATAAATAAACAAATAAAAAAAAATATAAAAATAATATTGATACTTTTATATTATATTCATTTAATTATATAGATACTTTGGTTTTTGTTTACGTTGGTTATTGGTTTTTTAACGATAAAAAATGTTCAAGTTGTTCTACCATTCAACAGTCTCATTTTTAATGTATTTTATTTACATTTTAAATTTTGAGGAGTTTAAGGTTTCCTGAAAAACATATTTATTTCTATAAAAATTTAATACAACATTAAATTATAAAATTAAAAATACGTTATACAATAATTTTGAGATTGCCGAAACAAAAAAATATTTAGAAAAACAAATTCTAAATCGATGAGGAATTATTTATCTTGTAAGTAGTGACTTTTTATAGTATATTTATTTTTTTCCGGTAATAGAAATTTCATCAATTTATTCTCTTTGATATTTCTGTAAATATTGAATTAATATAATAACGTAGACTGGGCCATTTTAGTAGAAACGAAATAGTACTTTAATATTGTACTGAGCAATCTTTCAGAAAAACCTCATAGATTATGAGATATTCTCAAAAGTCAGTTTTCTGAACTTCTCACCCCCCATCAAAAAACCCAATGTGAGAAATTTCAGGGTCTTTTTACTAGTAATTAGGGGAAGGTAATGAACCATTTCTAACAAGTGTCATCTTAATTTTGTTAATGTTGTGGTCAATTCCTAATTGTACCGTACTAATAATCTTTTCCACCATTAGAGATGAATATCAACTTACTCTGTAACAAATCTCAACTTAATTAATATAGGCTTAAAGATCATCAAATAACGATGTTTTTCTCAAAGTGTGGTATCTTCAGTCAATTTGAGCGATCATAAAAAAAATAAGAATTCTCGATTTTATAAAAAATCGAACCGTAGTTTAACTGCTTTACATTCTTCATCAAATGATTTTTAAAAAGATAAAATTGACTTTCATTTAATGTAAATTTTTTCTATTTTACTATGAACTAATTGGTTATAATCCAAATTAAATATTTTTTGTTATTAATTTTCATTTATTAAAAAACGTGCTTAACTTCGAAGATAAAAATTTAAAGTTTTCAGGTTTTCACTCTATGGTTTATAGTTTTTATTTATTGTTTTTCTTTGTAATTTTTAAGGTCTGCTATCGCACAGTATCAATTATATGATATCAATATCAATCTAAACTTCATATGAATATCACGAAATTCCCCCCTGAAGAATATCGAGTACAATTCTGTTGTCTTTGACTTTTTTGAATCGTCAAAACAAAGAAAATTTTAATAATAATAGGTACTACCAAAAAAATGTTATAAGAACGAATTAAACCTCGAAATGGTCTCATCTATTATGGACAACACAAATTTCATGGTTTAGAGGATTTTTTGCTTAAAGTGGAAATACAATAAATATAATCTCATAAATATCTTCATAACTATTGATTATATCAACAAATGTAAAGGATCATTTCGGTAGAGATTTTAAAGTACTTTAATATTGTTGTGAACAATCTTTGAGAATAACCTCATTGCTTATAACTCGCTCTTATCGTTGCTCCACTATGGGGTGTTCTATTAAAATGTTTTTATTTTATTTTATTTTTTTAATTAATCCAAAAAGAATGCAGACATTGTTAAATAGTAAATAAAAGAGGTAGAGAATTCAGTTCAATAAAAATGATTTTTGTTTAACTTTACAGACATAAAAGAAACGGATGAATGTATTAAAATAGTTAAACATCATACGTAATGTCATCAGTATGAACACTAGACTCAAAACATGCTACAGTAATATTTATATTAATATATGGTATACGTTATGCTGGAACATACCGCAATATTACATGTACCAACAGTTGTACTCATAAATAAATAATGGAAAGAAAAAATTGGTTAACGTTCCAGTAATATACTCACAACATGATTTATAAAATTGGATAGAGTATTAGCACAATTTCATAATATTCCCAAATACCGTTAAACTTCAGGTACTGACCCGAATGTCTAAATATCCGTGTTGTCAATTGCCTCTTATGTTTATATAACTTTATATAATAACTTTAAAACAATATGTAACACCACCATGGAAAAACTAATATTATGGAACATGACTTTTGTTCCGCTGAAATAACTAATTTCCATGAAAACGTTTTATTCTGTGCCCCCTCTTTACTTGTATGTTGTCTATAAAGCTACTTTTAATTATTTATTTTTTTTAAGAAATATTTATTTTCGTAACTGAAATATCACACTATTTTGTTTAATGAATTATAATAATCTTCATATGAAAGTAGTTAATAATATTCTGAAGTAGTTATTACTTTACTTAATAAAAATATTAGATGAAAATAATGGTCATGAGGTATTTAAGGAAAAAGTGTATTTCTGGTGAGTACTTCCATAGATAAGATACTGGAAAAGACACTTATGTTAAAAATAAATTTAGAAGCGTGATTTAAAGTTCAAATCTTTCAATCAAAATTATTTTGACTCATAACAAAGGTCCCTTAGTATGTGACTAACAGAACTCTATATACTAATCTTCATCTTTCAACAGTTGATCAACATATAATCATTTACCAACGGTATTATAAACATTTAAATGGGCATAACAACAGGTTAATAAGAGACATGGGTACAGCTGACATACCCCTGAATATGAGGAGTCGACTAAAAAGGCGTTGGATGAGAGATCTCCTTTCTTAAACAACGTAAGTAATTGAAACAAGTCAGGAAAGATGTGCTGCTGACTACTGTCATTCCTCATGCCTGCCTGGAGTGTCATTATTTCTTGTATTTTCAGCAATTTTGCTGATTGTCAATATAAAGCACAGGAGCAAATAAATTCTTAAAGATAAAAAAAGAGCGATTTTTTTAGATTATTATTTTATATTTAAGTCAAGTTATTTTCAAAGTACACGAAAGGGGAACTGTTTTATTTCAATCTCTACCACTTCCAAAGGATCCTCTTAACTTTGATAAGGAACGGCTGTCAATAAAAATCTATTTTATACATAACACTGATGATTTTTTAAAATTCAACATAAAACTTATAAAAATGATAAAACTAACCAGTAACACCGCTAATCCATCCTAAAATCATTAGTTTATGTTTATTTAAAATAACACCAAACGTTACTGTATGTCTTTCATCATTATTTTAATGAATGTTAAATGATTCCATCTTGGAATAGTAATCTCATTAACAGTTTTAAAAAAAAAATATCTGAATAAAAATAGAAATAACTTATTATTCGAAATCGGAAAATACCAGAATTTCTATTCATTTATTTTATTATATCTTCAAGGTAATTTTTAGTTTATTTAATTTCTTCAGTTTTGACACTCTTAAATACTACAGTTATATTCTTGTCGATACAGTAGCTTTAAAATACAGCATTAAAAAAAAAAAGTATATATATCATGTACATAATAATTATGCAAAACATAATGCTTTATGTCCTCTAGGTAGAGGATATATATTAATAAAGTAACCCATTATAAAAAAAAATCTGTTGAAGTAAGCTGAAATAATTACCGAAACTAATATTAAACTTATTCTCATTAATTAAAAATGAAAATAGAGAACAAAGATATTTAAATTTAGAAAAATGATAGGCAATCGCTAAATAAATAAATTACTTATGAGACTTATTAAATTAACAGATCAAAGCTATGTTCTCAGAATTGATAAATATCTGGTGAAACCTTTCAAGTGATAAAGGGTGTGGAAATAAGAAAATCTAAAATGATAATTATTTATTGTATAACTTCTTAGTTTTAGGATTTGTTATTAAATAAAGCACACAACTTTTAAATATTTTTTTATTAAGAGATTTGTACAAAAAAATAGTTTAAGGGACAGATTTTGGTTAAAAGCACAATATTGATAGCTTCTGATTAAAATCGAATATGTAACATGATTCGCAAATGTTGATGTGAACTTCAATAAAGCTAATCAAGAAGATTCATTTCATATTGCATGAATTCATTTCATAACCTCAACATCATACTATAAAAAATAACAATAATATAAATCTATTACGAATCGAATACAAGTAAAATTTGGTACAAACTTATATTTCTAAATAGGAACTTGTTTCTTATATTATCATGAATGTTAATAAGTCATGTCATCGATATTTAATTTATATTAGATAGTAAAGGGGTGACAGGTTGATTGACAGAGATTACAGACCCTATCAACCATAGATTTGAATTATTGGAATTAATTGTAGTTATTTTAAACTGTGCCAAAAAACGTATCAAAAAACAAACAAACATATCACAGACCACTTAAGTTTTCTTCGACTTGCCTCTTAGCTCTCCTTTTTCAGTTTTGGATATTATCAGTATTTACATAAAATAATTACAAATAAATTACAGATCACAATTCTGATATTCAAAAGCAGCTTAGTATACTTGACAATAGTTAACGAATTTTCACATAGCAAAATACTATTATTTTACGTGTTCATAAATATCATCTTGTTTAATATAAATAACAAATAAAAAAGATTAACCTATTTTTAACATTTTATAACAATCAGTTAAAAACTTATAAATAAGTAACAATAGTTTGAAACCAGTTATAAATATAAACGGTTATATTCATTACATTTCAGAACATAATATTATTTACAAGTATTAAATATATTATCAATTAATTATCAGTCGTTATTTGGAAACGTTTTGTACAGAGGAAGAACTAGTAGACAATTTTTCTTGAGAGAAAGCCGCTCTTTTCTCCGGAGTTTGTATCTGATAGTTGAATCTAGATTCACCAGCATACGGCCCGCGACCCCGGTGAGGGAACGGCTTATCGATGGGAACGAATGGCACGAACTTGTCGCCAGTGTAGGTGGAGGGCCTGAAGGGTGCTACCGGGGGCTTCTTGTTGAAGGTGTTGGCCAATGGGAGGGTGTCCTTGGCCGGGGCCAGGGTGGAGGCGGTCCGAGCCAAAGGAAAGGCCTTCTCTGCCCCTCCGAGAGTCCCCTTCTTATCGCCCTGCGTCGGGAATGGACCTTTCTTATCTTCCACGTTTATCTTCTTCTCTTCGCCAACCCTGTGTCTAGCTTCTGGTGCATCACTTTTGAATTTCTTGTTGTTTCTTGGCTCTGCTGCGTCTGCGGGTGCTGCCTCTATTGAAGATTGAAAATCCGGCCTGATGTCAGCTTTGTATGTTCTTTTGTTATCGTTAGGATTGAAAGGTGGTCGTTCATATCCTCCTTTTCTTTCACCTGAAGTTTCGAAGCTGCCTCTACCGCCTGATTCAAAACTTCCGTATCCTTCCTGGGAATTGAAGTAAGACTCATCGGAACCGAAGTCTGGAATGTCTGCTTCGAAACTTTGTCCACCTATCTCTGAGCTCTGAAACTCGGATTCGAAGCTCTGGCTTTTATCTTCTTCACTAAACTCTTGCTTGCTTCCGTCGTTATTGAATCCACCCTTCTGTCCTAAAGCTGGACCTGAGATAGGCTTTTTCTCATCCCTAAATGGTTTCGAACCCGGAGGGCCTTGATTCACTCCAGTAGGTCCCGGTCCTACTCCAGCACGATTGTTGGTGTCCAATCCGTGAGGCCTATCCAGTGGAGAGCTGCTCGGTTGGATCGGTTTGAACTGTTTGTTTCGTATACCTTGTGGAGGTGCGTTCTGATTTATGCCTCCAGGACCGAAATTAGTTTTAGCTGGTGGTCCAAAGTGAGGTCTGGTGTCGTATCTCAAATCAGTCAAGGGTCTGTCGTTATTTTGTCTAAAATCGTTAGGCGGCCTGTCGTTGTTTTGTCTGAAGTCGTTAGACGGCCTGTCGCTATTCTGCCTGAAGTCGTTAGAGGGCCTGTCGCTATTCTGCCTGAAGTCATTAGGCGGCCTATCGTTGGTATTTTTCAATTCGGAAATAGGACGTTCATTATTCCTCAGATCTGTAATTGGGCCCTCCCCGTGAGGTCTAGGCCTGTCATTACCGTTTCTCAAATCATTGAGAGGTCTGTTGTCATGGCTTCTTAAGTCCGACGATGGTCTATCGCTATGAATTCTAGAATCCAAGGGTCGTTCACTATGGCCTCTCAAGTCAGCAGCAGGGCGGTCTCTGTTATTCACCACTTCGGAAGAAGGTCGATCAGTATTCCTCAAATCAGAAATAGGCTCATTATGAGTTCTCACGTCAGTAATCAACGCGTCATTATTATTCCTGACATCGGTGACTGGTGCATTGTATGGCACTGGGTTCTGCAGATTCGGTTCTATATTTGTAGGTCCCCCGAAATCCCTCTTCGGTTCCTCATAATTATTATTATATGTACCCTCATTACTGTATGAATTTTCATTACTTTGTGGTGGATAGTCGGACTTGGGCTGCTCAGGGCTATAACTAGGTGGACTATTCTCGATTCTAGGCCCTTCAGTGAATTCATTGTATACAGGAGTAGGAGAGCCATCGTTTCTCGGATATTCTTCGTTTCCTCGCGTATCATAATTTTCGATAGGGGCATTATTATTAGGGTGATAGCTTTGTGGCTCAATGTGAGCAGGTACGGGGGGTACAGTAGCAATGCCATCGTTATAATTTTGAACTGCGTCGGCAAACTGAGGAAGCCTATCGTTTCCGTAACTCTGAGGTGGGAGGCTAGTATGAGTTAAATCTGGTCCAAAACTGGAAACTGTGGGGGTCTGGTAGATATGGGGAGCACTATTTATTATATTTTGGTTACCTGGTATTGGTGGATCATAACTAATTTGGGACGATTGGAAGCTGTTGATCTGCGGCGGCGGCGGTGGAGGCGGATGGCCACTAGTATGGATATGGGTCTGCGGCCTCGAGTTGAAGAAGGGCTGAGGCTGGTGAACGAAGGTCTGAGAGGAAGGGAAGGTGGCGAAGCGCTGAGGGGCCGAGAAGGCGCCAGGCCAGAGACCCTCCTTGCCCACGCGGGGCCCGCCCCCGAAGCGCTGGCTCCAGCTGCCGTCGGCCCCGTAGGTGGGGTGCCCCTGCCCGTGGCTGGCCCTGAAGTTCTGGTAGCTGATGGCCTGCTGCCGCCCCCACGCCACCCCCAGCACTAGTAGGCACACTAATAGTTCCATTGTGACTGCCGCTCCCCTCGCCGCTCCGCCCTCTTATACCTTACCCCTCCCTACCGCCGCCTCTACTCTTCCCATTTACACAACACTACTTTTTTCCTATCGACATCCTAACATTGATTTTTCTCCCTTCATATCGTCAATAAATCACACTTAATTTGCTTGTTTTACACTTCGAATCATTGAAATGTTTACTTTTTACCAGATTCTCGGATACTTTTATCGAGAATCACCCCACTGTAGTATTTAATAAAATACAGATACTATACAATGACATACTGTATACTTTAATATAAATTTACTCTTAATACCGAGAGAATATAAGTAAACTATTAAACAACTGAACACAAAAATAATTGAGAAAATAAAACCTATTTCATATTCGCATTAATTTTATCGCATTAATCCTAAAAAATGATTCTTTCGTACAATGTTAGAGCATCTACAGAACTACAATTTTTTAAAAATGTTTAACATTTTATAAATTATATTTTAGCCAATAAATATTAAAATAGTATTACATTTAAAATTTGATTTACCGTGCCAATGTCTATAAAAAGGTCATTTGTAATAATCTTTAAATCAACATATCATTGAATTAATGACTAATACCTTTTATTTCATTAAGTTTCACTTCAGCATCCTCTACGCTATTAAAAGATGTACTAGATCTGCAGATAGTACTTGAGACCTTACTCCTCATACTTTCTACCACTGTCACTTTTTTTATTATTATTTGATTTTCATATGCACTTTAATATCTAAATTACTATATTTTATAATTTCTAATTGATTGAGTTTATATTCGTATTTTCATTGATAATTTTATTTACTTTTTTGTCCTGTTTATAATTTATGTATGATGTGTGTTTCAATTTTCTATATCATTTTTGTAATTTATAATCCCATCTGTTCTTATGTTAAGCCTCCAATTTTTTTTCTATTTTTTCGTTATCTAATATTTTATGGTCTGTCAAAATCAGATTTAATTTACTGTGGATACAGAATGATTTGCTTGTGCTGTACCATTGCTATTTTGTATGCTTTCCAATTTTTTATGCGTTGGTTTATATATATATATATATATATATATATATATATTTTTTTTTTTTTTTGAGATTTTGCCTATTACAATTTAAACAATCTAGTATGTGTAGTAGTCTAAGAGGATCATTTTATCTATCATGTTCATCTTATGGTCAACAATTTTATTATCTCTCTATTGTATAAAAATATGTCTAGTGTATGTCATATTTTATTTTATTTTAGGGGGTTACAGGAGCTCTCCTATTAGTTCTATAATTAACACTAACTATATAGCTGTTCATTTAATTACATATGCATTGAGCTCCTGTTACCTAATACTTTCCTGATACAAAATAAATATTTTAGACTAAAAATTTGTATAGGAAATGGTATTTATTCACCTGGAGGTAGTAGTTTAATTTTATCTTGCTGCGAGACAAAAAAAAAAAAAAAAAGAAAAAAAAGAAATGCAGTTATTTTTCGATCTCCATTTTCCCTTCAATATATTACATGTAATATTATTTATATTATATATAATGTAATAGGGTCCGGTATAGCGCTTAGCTACTAAAGCAAAGATCATATGATCGAATCCTGGCTCTACTTCCCAATACGGCTGGTCCCCGCGGGAAGTTAGACCATTACCCTCTTAATTGGGGAGGCCTACAGGTGTAATACTTGTAAAAAAAGGCTATACAAAAAAAAATTATATTATGATATAATTATAATTATTATTGAAATAGAAATTAATGAAATTAATTTTATTAAAAATTAAAATTAATGAAATAGAAAATGAAGCACAATATAACGAACGAGGAAAATATTAGAAATAAAAGGCTTAAATGAACCTAAACAAGTTGAATATATATTTTGATTACAAAGTGGCAATAATAATTATTATTATTATATAATAATATAAATTGGCAATAAGGCGCGATGTATAATATAGATTTATATATATTTGTATTATAAATTTGTCCGAACTGTGGTTTCGTTGTGTTTATTAAAAATAGTACAATTTGAACTATAGACTACATATAAATTAAACTTATACAATTTGAGCAACGAGTTTTTCAATTAAATGAACAGTTGTTTAATACATAAAATGGGGTTAGTCCGCCGTTAGGCAAACAGGGAATACCTCCTAGTTATCATAAAGGAATAAATTTTAAATAATTGTGGTCGTAAAATTATAATTATTATATAAAATATTTTCTGTAAATTTTGGGATATAATTTATTTTAAAGAATCTGTAACTGGTTGTTTAGTAAAGGGTTACTTTTATTCTTATTAATGTCATTGGTTCCATTATTCACCATTCCTTTAACAGTTCCGTAATGGTTTTTTGCATTGGTTTCACTGACTTCTTTTCTATTATCTGAGTTTTATCTTTCCCAGCATTACTTATTTTTCTTTAATCTTCCTTCATTCTTCACTGTTTTTGTAATAATATAATTAAAAAATTATATGACAATTTTTAAAAGAATTGTATTTTTAATGATGGGATCACTGCTCCTAAACGCTCAGTCAATCGATGGTTTATTTTTAAGGAGAAAAAGATAGATGAAGGAAGTTTTTGATGATATTCTAAAAACATAAAATACGTGATACAAAAATTTAAATTAAATAAATATTATTATTTTTTATATCTAAGAAAAGTATGCAACAACGTTTCGGCATTCAAAGTTTATTCAACCATATCTTTATATTTTGTCCTATTATCCACTACTGAAACATATCTATTCAGGTTAGTAAAGCAATAAAAAAGTATTTATTGGATGTTTTATCTTTTTATTAATCTGTCTGATAATTTATTTATTGAGTAATATAACATTCTGCCACTTAGACAATAATTATAGTGAGGTAAGACCAAATTCATATTACAAATACTGAAAACATAAAATAGACAAATAAAAAAAATAACAACTAAATTATAATCAAAAAGTAAATAAAAGTAATACAATAAATAAAAATAAAATATCTTAAAGGAAAGTAAAATAATAAAAAAACACATATACATATTATTTTATAATTAAGTATACATTACTCAATTTTATTAATTGACCATAGTTTCCTATAAAACCTCAGGTATAATTGTACCAATAGGACATTTTGTTTACATAGGATAGGGTTTTATTTTCTATATATAATATGAATTAGAACATTCACCTCTTGCACTTTATAAGTACAGATATATTTACGATTAAAATATCAAAAGATGTGACTAGAAACATATGACTTAATATTATCAACATTTTCTTCATATATTTAATTTTTAAAGCAGACAAAAATGAAGGTACATCCTTTTTTTTTTTTTTTTTTTTTTTTAGAAAATTGAAATAATTTCATTAACTTTTTTATTTCCATGATTATATTTTAATTTAATTCCAACCAGAATCGAATCATTTGTGTTTCGCAATTTTCGAAGAATTGATTGTTTCTTTTTCTCAATAACATAGCTAAAGAATTAATTAATTGTATGTTTTTTTTTCTAACATTCTTGGACCCTGAATATTATAGGAATCATTTCTTTATTCTTTTTTATTCTTCTCGTTAACATCTATAAATTTTATAGATTAATTAACCAATCAGTGATGATAATAGAACAGGAGCCGATGGAAAAAAACATCATAGTCATCAAGGTCTACTTGGATTCAATTGCATTCTGTAGGTTAATTTTTTAGAAAAATGAAAAATGACATCAGCTGTGGTGATTCGGTCGGGTGAACTAACGAGATGATCGAGACATATCGTACACTTTGTATGTAGAACTTAGACCCTTCTACACAATACGGCAATACGATATTCCTGTCGACGACGGCGATATGGCGATATGGCGATATAGGTGTATTACTATATATTGGATTGTAGCAGTCACACAAAGCGCGATAATCCGGAGCGATACAGACAAAGGGATATCGTATCGCCGGGACATATCGCGTTCTATGTTAGCCTTAAATCATATTTAAATTTCATTATTCGATTAGTTTTAGTGTTCCTTATAGTTTATATGGAAGTACAATTCCACTTTCCAATCAATATTTTGTGTCATAAAATAGTTCATAACAAACCTCGTTTAAGTATAAGAACATAGTTATAAGCAGCATTTCAAACACCTATATTCAACAAACTTCTCTTACAAAGCCCACATAGAATAGGAACAGTGGAACATGTTCAAAATGGTACGCTATAAATTATTATCCTGCTTTTCTTTAAATATGGGATGAATGTAAGAAAAAACCTCGAAACGTCGCCAAAATAATTGTTTATTTATTGACTGAATCTTAAGATCCACAGAAAATGTTTTTTATTAATAGTCAATTGAATAGAAATATATTGATATTGGTCACCTGAACCAATCTTCTACATATCTTGGGCTATTGCTTTTCAGTTTTCAACGTACAACTGCAACAGGGTATGCTCACTAAACATGATTTAGGTGGATAAAAGTCAACTCAAAGAATTGATCAATTGAATATTCCACGAAAATTACAATCCCTTGTATTTCACTATTCCTAATAATATTTATGGCAAACGTTTCAGAGAAATGAGTCATAAGGGGTTGAAGTGAAGGTCTTGGGCTATTCAATTTATGCAAACAATTTATTAGCTGTCTTGTACAACTTTTAATATACAAAAAATCGTAGTAATAAATAAAATTAGGATTTTTTTTCCTGGATTTTACATTTAAGGATTTTTATTTTTAAATTTTATTTAAAGTTCGATTAAAATTACAGTCAATATGTGTTATATTACAGGTTATGAAAAACTAAGTAAACATTGTAATATTTTTCTCGGTTATAAATATTGCAACGTAGCTACATTTTTTGTCTACATCTATCCAGCTTAAATTTTCTCTATTATCTATCGAAAATCCTATGCATTTTTTTTTTCGAGACGGAGCTTATCTTTTTTTATTTTTTAAAAAGTTTAATGACGGTTACTACTGAATAATAATGTATTTAGGGATAAACATT